TATGAGAGTTGTGGAATTAAAAACAAAACAAAACAAAAAAACCTGTACTTCTCACTGAATTACTTTTATACAAACCAAACAATGTATTACAATAAAATGAGTATTGAGGGAAACACAAAATGGAGGCAAGTCAGAAATGAGATGACAAAACACCTAATTATAAAGATTGAAAGAAAACATGGATTCGATTCAAGCTCCTTCTTTCTCTTTCTTTTTTTAAAATCCTCACCCGAGGACATTTTTTTCATTGCTTTTAGAGAGGGAGGAAAGGAGAGAAGAAGGGAGAGAGAGAAACATTGATGTGAGAGAGAAGCATCGATTGGTTGCTTCCTTGAAGCACCTGGACCAGGGGCTGAGCTGGCAACCTGTGTGTGTGCCCTGAGCAGGTAGGTGTCAAATCTGCAACCCTTCCGTTATGGGATGACACTCCAACCAACTGAGCCAAAGTGGCCAGGGCCAGGTTCCTCAAGTAGTTGGAAGTATTGGGCAAGTCACTTAAATTTCAAAGCCTTATTTTCCTTACCTGTATTACAAGGGTTTGGAACTTGATGATCCCTAAGGTCTTTTAGCTATAAAATTCTATGATTCTATAAAAATAAAATGAGGGGGGAAATTTTAAAAAGGTAAAATGAAGAGGTGATGGAGACAGATATGTATGTGTGCTTATGCATATTTAGCATCTGTCCTTTCCATCTCCCTTTCCTGTATTCATGACTTCTATAAATCATTACTCAGTATGAGCGGACAGGGGTTTTTCAAGCATGGCTCCCTTGATCAAATCTTACCCCTTTTTTCAAATAGCTTATAAAACCCTATGCAGCCTATTCTTGAAGAATATGCAAACTGCTGATCACAGAGCTAAACTCTCTAAACCTGCTGCCCGAATTTAAAACCACAAATATCTTTTCTTATCTGTATATCACAAAACTACTTGCCTCATATATTATGTATACTCAAGTCAGGACATTTTAGTATTATTGTAGAATCTATGTCAGAAAATTTGTCAAAATAACAAAATAATGTGAAAAAAAATAAAGAAACAGGGAACATAAATTTCTAGAAGTAGATATATGATGTCAAAGTTGTTTTAAAATCTTAAGTAAAATACGCCCTGGCTGGCATGGCTCAGTAGGTTGAGTGTCTACCCACAAAGCCAGAGGCTGTTGGTTCCATTCGCATCAGGGCACGAGCCTGGGTTGAGGCATGAGGGAGAAGCAACCGTTCGTGTTTCTCTCACACTATTTCACCCTACCTTTCCCTGTCTCTAAGATAGATAAATAAATAAAATCTTTTTTAAAATCTTAAGTAAAATAGTTCAATGAAACAGCATCATGAGCCCTGGCAGGTGTGACTCGACAGACTGAGTGCCGGCCTGAGAACCCAAAGGTCGCCGTCACATTCCCAGTCAGGACACATGCCTGGGCGGCTGGCCAGGAACCTGGTTTGGGGAGTGTGAGAGGCAACTGATAGATGTATCAATGTTTCTCTCCCTCTCTTTCTCCCTTCCTTCCCCTCTCTCTACAAATAAATAAATCTTTTTTTTTAAATCATGAGTCAGATGTATATTTCATAGACTTTCAATATTAATGACTTTAATGCATTATCACAGGCAAGCCAAGGGATTAGCTTCAGTTTCCAATTTGAATCAAAATGTAGAAAAAGTAGATAGCTGTATGTCGCAGTTGGTTTAGTAATTAACTATAAAATAAATTTGAATGACTAATTTCAATGTACTGTGATCAAAGATCATCTCTGGCAGTTCAATGTCTTAGTCTACACAAAGCACAGTAAACACAAAACATTCCCTATTAAACTCATCATATATAATAAATTACAATTCATATTTTAGCTTGTCTAGAAGTTACTACCATTATATATTTTGTGGGTGTAAGTATTTCAACTGTGTTATTTTCTTAAGCATCTGTTTAAAATTTTGCAGCCATTGCCTCAAACTACCATAAATGATGTATGTTAACCTGATAGGGAGCCCCAATTTAAAAGCCAAATTTACAATCTGAGAATTGACACAATCAGGCTGGTATTAAGCCCCTGAGGTAAAAAAGATTAACTTCAATAACACTTTACTAACAGATAAGGATTTACTACATCTTCCAACTCGGAAGAAGCATAGGCAATTTTACAGTGGGTCACAGCCAAAACAGTGTCACTAAAAACCCCGAAGCCTATATTTTTAATTTCTAATAAACTTGACTCACTAACAAAAGCTGTGCTGGAACATACATCCAAGTAATGCTGGAAGAGGTGGTACCTGCCACCTAAGTGTACTTCAAAACAGACATACAAGACACATTTCCACTGTAAGACCAGTCCCACCCCTGACTGATCTTATACCTACACAAAGACTACCACTGACCTGGATTCTTTCCACTCCAGAAGGCTTTCCTCTACCCTTTCTTAACTTCTTTCCTCCTTAAAAGCTATCTTTGCTCATGTTTGTTTTGATACAATTTCAACCATATAAAATGGCAGTGGGTGAGGAATACACACAACCTCCAGCTGCGATGGCCTCTGCTCAGTAGACCCTAAAAACACAAGCATTCCGGTCACACATATCCCTCAGGCAGTTTCCCAAATAATCAGCCTCCCTTCAGATAATTAGTAGGGGAAAGAAAAGGGGGCTGGAGTTTTGCAAGAGAGATAGGGCTCGTACAAGTTTATTTCTTTACAGTCTGGCATTCCTCTTTCTCTGGCTGCATTTCTGTTGACTGTATTTCTGCTCAGTTATCAGCCAGTGTATCTGTGTTAGTCAGCCTCTAAAATGACACCCAAAGATCCTTGCATCCTGGGATTTATGCTCTTGTGTAATCCTCTCCAGATAGATGTTGGGTTGGATTACTGACTCACTTCTAACACACAATATGACAGTAGTAATGAGATAAACTTCTGAGTTTATGTTATAAAAGACTATGCAGTCTTGGTACTCTGTCAGATTGAAGCCAGCTGCTATACTGTGGTGCAGCCCTATGGCGGAACCCCACGTGGTGGAACAGAGGAGTTAAAATCCTCACTTCACTGGTTATTACTTACAGGATCTTGTTGAGATTTACTTGACTATTCTAAGCTTTAGTTTCTTCATATGTAATGTGGGAAATAATACTTATGCTCAAACAGCTATTGTATTATATGAGATAACACATATGAATACCACATATACCACATACCACAGTGAATAATCACTAAGATGTTATCTGTTCATTTGTTTTGGCAAAATTATATTTTAATAAACTGAAAATAATCAGGTGAGTGCACGTGCAAGTGGATCCTTCTACCCCTCAGTGGAGTCTTCAAGCGACATCTCAGCCCCCAGATACCGTTTGACTACAACTGCATGAAAGAACATGAGCCAAAAGTGCTCTGTTAAGTTGTGCACTTAAGTTGTGCATGAATTTCTGACCCACAAAAACTCTGACATAATAAACGTCTATTGTTTTAAGCAGCTAAAGTTTGGGGTGATTTGTTACTCAGCAATAGATAACTAATACAGTATCTCATCAGGCAAATTGTCAAGTTAACTGCATAAAAATGAGAAGTTTCCTACTCACACTGAAAAAATAGAATAAAATTTATTCTTTATTATGTTCAGTTTTGTAAACCAGTTTTCTTAGGCTGGGATTGGGGGAGGGCAGGTCCCTTCTACCTAAGAAATAAGGTTACCAAATGCCAAACATTAATAGAAGAAAAGCTGAAATGGAATTCATAAATTAGCTCCATCTTCTAGTAGTCAAGGTCATGATATTGGAAATTTGGAGAGAAACACCTAAGAACCTTGAAAAGATAAATTCCACTTGTTAAAACAAGTAGGTTTAATAATTAAGTTACCAAATACATATAGAACTTAAAAAAACAACCATTAAATACTTAAATGAGGATTAGGAATCATTAATGTAATTTCATCCAATTAATAACATTTAATTGAGCACCCTCCCCCCATGTAAGAAACTAGAGCTGAGTCACAGAGAAACGAACGGACAGGCTAAGATTCTGCCAAATTTATAACCAGAGTTTGACAACTGAAGCAACTGGCAATTTATCACGACCTTAACTGTGCTTGCATTCGTATCATTGAAAATGCAAAGAACTGAAAACTGTGTCTCTGCACACCCTCCCCGCCTTTTGCTTGAAAAGCAATACCTTGGGTTAGAAAAGATTAATCATTGACGTTTCTCGGCTTTATTTCAGAGTGAAACCTAGTCACTATCTGGGGTCCCAAGCTGACCTTCTACCCCAGTGGCCTAGAAACACAAGGAACACACCTACTCCCGCCTCCTGACACTGATTCGTCATTTCAATAAGCCATCACCACTGTCACTCAAGATGCTCTGCACTGTCATTGGTCCCAAAGTCTTGCTGGTTGGCAAGTTTCTGCCAACTGGCAAGCACCGGTTATCTTTATTTCCGAAAAGAAAAGTAGGGGTGTACCGGGGAAAGAGGCAAGAGCTCTGAAACAGCTAGGCTGAGGCTTGTACCTGAGCGACCTGCGATCCCCACCGCCGCCGCGACGAATCGGCCTCTTGGCGGGGGCTTTTAGCCAAAAAGAAAATGGCTCAGCCGGGAACTGGTGCCCAGGCCATGAAGAAGCTGGTTCAGATTTTACTTGTTCACGCCAGTGGAAGGGACGGCGGCGAGAATCCCAGAAACAGCACTGTATTCCTCCAACCAGCCCACCTCCAGCTGCAGCAGCTAGGGCTGGGGACTATCCTAGTTTTGACGTTTCCTATTGTTGCCGGAAGTGACGTCAGGGGTATGAGCCTTAAAGAAAAAGAAGTTTATTGCTGCTGTTTACAATTCGTTATAAATTCCTTGTTTCCTCATTTCGCATCCCGAGCCACTCTAAGCATCAAAACTAGGCCAAGTACTGCTCTCCCACTTGGGATCGGGCTCGCCGTCGAGAAGGCTCTCAGCAGAATCAACGTCCTCAGGGGTCGGGGCAAACGTGGTGTGGAATCTGCAGTGAGAAATCGTGAAGCTGTGGGAAGCTAGCACCTTTGAAGGTCTTGCCGCGGTGTTTGGCGGGCTTCGACCGCGTTCCAAATACAAACCGTCGGCGCGAGCAGCACACCGGGGCAGCCGTCCTGCCACAGGGACTCGTTGCTGGACGCTGGGCTCCCGTGGCTATCTCTGGTTGTGAATGCAATCTCTCCCTGTCTTCTTCGGAGCCCGCTTCTTTGCTCAGCCGCTGCTGGGTGAGCCGGGGGAAACTGGCGAGATTGCACCTTAAACTGAGCTGGGGTCTCCTGTGTCCGATGCCCTTATCGAAGCCCTGGGTGGGAGCGAATGACCAGGTCTGGTTTTTCATGTTTAAATCAAGCAGTGGGAGGGAAACCAGAGATGTGGCTTGCCGATATATGCAACTGGTACGCCCCTTAGTGACAACGAAGAAGGCAGAATCGTAGCAGCTCATCCTCTGAGATTAGGTTGTGATTTATGGTGTTGAAGTTACAAGACTGACTGCTCCCTCCTATTGGATCTGAGCTGCGGAGCGGTCCAGCTCCTTGGAAATATTGACTAGAAGGAAGAGATGGAAGTAGTGGATGCTTTCCTTGCTTGCATTTCGCTGGTGTTTCAGTATTTTTCCACCTTCCTAGAAGACTTGTTTTTTCCTTCACTATGAAAAAAAATCAATCATGACGATTTGATTCCGAAATTATGGCTATACTAGACTTTTTCCTAAAATTACCCAAATCTTTTAACAGTTTTATATGTAAATGCAGCAGTCCCACTGAACTCTGTACTTGTCCCTTACTCCCTCTGTTTTCCCCCAATTTTTCTCAGTGTTTTCTTTCCCAGACCATTCTATCTCTTAAACAGTATATCCCTGATATCTTTTTGCAAAAAGTTTTATGAACTTATTTTTCCTCATCTCTACTCTATTTTTTCTACAGTTTGTCTTCCTACTTTATTTTTTATATTTTATTGTTTATACCATTACACTTGTCCCACTTTTACTCCTTCTACCCACTCTGCCCAGCCCACGACCCTCCTTCCATCGTCAGTCCTTTCACCGTTGTCCAAGTCCCTGGGTCCTTCTGTAGGTTCTTTGACTAACCCCTTCACCTTCTTTAACTCAGGCCCCACCTCCCCTCTCCCTTCTTAAAGCTGTCAGTCTGTTCCATGATTCTAAGCCTCTGATTATATTTTGCTCATTAGTTTAGTTTGTTCATTAGATCCCCATATTCCTCTATTTTTGATATGTTTTTTGTATCTAGGGTTATGACCTATGTCAGAAACTTAGTTATCAACCATAATTGTTATAGTCAGTATAGTTGCTTCATTCTGAACAAAAGTCACTCAAAGTTCAATGGCATTACACTGGGAGGCATCATTTAATGACCTCTAACAGCAATGAGATGGATCTAGACTAAAAATCTATTGAGTTCAGTTGGGCAGACTTGACTTGCAGAGAGCTCCTGGAGGAAGGAGGAAGCAATATTGAGACCAGCTTAATGGTTGAATCTAGATTACAAGCTGAGAAATAGCTCCTTTTAATTTCCTTTGATAAGGGTTATAGAGTATAAATATTAATCATAAAGTCATAACTTATTTTGCATAAGTCATAGATTATGAATTCTTTTAATATCTTAATTTTTTAATTTTATAATAGACTGAGTAAAGCCTTTCATGGAAATGTAGAGCAGTTACTAATTTTTTTCTATAATATTCACATTTTGTATCCCTTTATTTTTTTCTGTCCTATTTTATCACTTATCTCCTTCACCTACAGATCCAAGCTGTACTTGTATCTTACTCTTCTTCAAAATATTTATTCTGCTGGTACTGAAGAGGATGTGTTCCAGGGACATACTTTGTTGTCAGAAATCCCATTACCTGAGGTAGAAATAATGAGACATTGCTGTATGTTCCCGAGCTTTAGAGAAAGGAAAGATGGAAAGATACCATAAAGTGTTAAATAGAACAAAATTACATGTATTGGAAAGGTGGAATATACATCTGGGAGTATTAAAAAGTTTATGGGAAGGAATACAATTTATATTGAAGTTATAGGATGTCTTAAGTGAAAAGGTGCCCCTAGAAGAATTGTGTTAAGACAGATGAGTCTGACACTTAAAACAAGCTCAGACCTACTATATTGGCCAATGACAATATTTAAGAATGTATATTTTTTGTAGTTACAGCCAGATTAGCTCCTACCACATCTTCCCTTGGAAAGTAAAGGCTGGTCATGGGAGGTCATCTCTCTTACTGCTTCCATTGTCCATCTATCAAACCCCCAGTCATCCTGACCACATTAAATAACATTGGCCTTTTGGGCCAGTATTTTGCAAAATGTGATTTCAGGATTACTTCTTTTTTTTTCCTGTCAATCTCCCATTTGACAGTACCTAAAATTCCCTCTGCCTAAAAAAGTAAATGTTTAGTTGAAGTAACTTTTTTAGCTGAAGAATTATGACTAAAATGCATGTATAAGTGTATTAAAATATATTCATTAACCTGTTCTTTACCATATTGATCAAGGAGAGGAGACTTGGATCAGGAAGAGACTGTGTTTCTAAAATGGGGAAAGGGTTCAGAATTGGGTGGCTAGGAGCTTAAGCTTGAAAGCTTACAGAATTTAAGATTTTGCATACCGTTAGCCTCATTAACTCTAGTTAGGTACAGATAGAAGGTGTGTAAGGAGATGACTTCACTCTTGAGTACCTGCTAGAAGGATGACTGGGGGGAAAGATCATATTAACTCTACTTCACCAGATTTATGAATTGTTCTGTTTTGTTTTTAATGTCATGACCTCACTTTAAAGAAGCTTCATGCCCAGAGGATTCATTACTCAAGGTATTGTTATCTGTTATTTTCCTTCTATAAAGTATCCATGGAGAGTTACAAATAGATGTTTTTAAAATGTGCTCTTGAGCTTTGCCTTACTAGTTAACTAGGCTAATAGTTTAGGTAGCTGTATGTCTTTTATCTCTTTCTAGCAAAAGCTCTTAACTATTTATTAACTTCCTAGGTCATAACCTTTTTTGGGGAACCTAACAAAAAGCCCTACTACAAGCAATAAAAAAGATCATTTAAGAATATAATTCCATGGTATTATTTTCTTTGGGTTTTAAAGAAAGTGAACCATTTTATTTAAAATGTCAAACATTTTTCATGTGTTTTGGTGCACACACATATATAAGCATGTTACTCTGTTATGTATATTCTTTGGAGTCGTGTTTCTGCCTCATAGACCCTATGAACGCCAGCTTTAGTAGATATCACCAAAAAGTTTTCCAAAGTGACCTGTACTAAATTACCCTTTCACAGCAGTCTGGCTGTCAGATCTTCTACAACCTCACATTTTTATTTACTTTGCACTTTCCTAATAATTAATGAGATTATCTCTTCACATGGTTACTGTTCTGTAAAGTTCCTGTTCAGGTCTCTTTCCTGGTTTTTTATATTGAGTTGTCTTTCTTTTTCTTGTTGCTTTGTAGGAATTTCTAGATATGAATATTTTTGTTGGTTATGTATATGGCAGCATTCTCTTCCATCAGTGGTTTATCCTTCCACTCTCTTAAAGGTGTATTTTGATGAACAGAAGTTACCAATTTTAATGTGTTTCATTTTACCAGTCATAAGATAAGAAATCATTCTGTACCTGAAGCTTATAAAGATTATTCTCTTATGTGATCTCCAGAAAACCTGGTTGTCTTATATTTTACATTTAGATCTTCAACAAACCTGACATTAATTTTGTGAAGAATGTGAGGTACTCTGTACATCAGGGGTTCAAGATTTATTCATTCCATCTGGATATTCACCTGACAAAGTACCATTTTTGAAAAAAGACCATCCTTTCTCCAGGGCTACTCAGCATCGAGTCTGTCATAAATCTAGTGTCAATGTACGCATGGTCTGTTTCTGGACTCTGTTCTGTTCCACTGTTCTATTTGTACATGTTTTCACTAGTCCCAAATTTAGCTTTATGCTGAGTCTTGATACCCAGTGGGTAAGTCCTCCAATTTTGATTTTGATAGTTTTCCTTTATCTTTTGCATTTCTATATAAATTTTACTCAATTTATCAATTTCCACCTAAGAAAAACTGCAGGGATTTTTTGGAGGGAGAGGTGGGCAGGAGGGAATGCACTGAATCTATGAATCAATATATTGAGTCTTCCAATTGTTGATCAGCATGCATACCTCTTCTATTTAGGGCTTCTTTAATATATCTCAATAAAGTTTTATAGCTTTTTGACATCTTACACATCTTTTCTAGATCTATTCTATTCACATGTGTATGATTATTTGGTGAGATTATAGTAAATTATTTATACATGATGTGGACCCCGGCTCGTGGGGTCTGTGGTGTTATGGGTGAGACTCCACAAATTCACACGGACTACTGAGTCCTGCGGAGGAAAAGGGACGGCGTGGCTTTCCTCTCAAGAGGAGAAAAAGCCTCAGCCCTTGCCTTGACAAGCTTTTATTGCTTTTCTGGGCACATTACATGATGGTCCTCATTTACTATGCACAGGTTCGCTTTAGGTGGTTACCTTTTACAGAAAACAAAGGAGAGGATGCCACTAATCACATCACAGAAGAGGGATATTTGCAAATGCCAAGGGAAAAGTGGTTGAACTGATTACACTCGTCCTTGGGAGGTTTAGCATGGATTTTAGGACGTTACTTTAAAGAAATGCAGTACACATTTGCTGCCTCAATTCAGGGTGAGGGAGTTTTAGCAAAAGCAAGTCTCATAGCAGTCGAGGTACAATGCAGGCCTGATTCCCCACGGGAGAACCTATATGTGGATGTGGGTCCTGTGCATCTCCAAGTGGGAGCTGGGCCCACACCATGCAGAACAGTCTCCTATATATACGTATATAATTTTTAAACATTTTCTAATTATTTGGAGAATACAGGAATACAATGGGTGTTTGTATATTGACCTTCTATCCAGCAACCATAGAAATTCACCTATTTCTTTAGATTTTTTTATATACAATTATGTTATTAACTTTCATTTCTTCCTTTTTAGTCTTTATTCCTTTTATTTCTTTTCTTGCACTTTTGTACTATCTACCACCTCTAGTGCAGTGTTGAATAGAAATAATGAGACTGGGTAAGCTTGCCTCATTCCCAATCTCAGGAAGAAAGTGTTTAATATTTCACTATTAAGTATGATGTTTGCAAGAGATTTTTGTAGATAACCTTTATCAGGTGCAGGCAGTTCCCTTCCACTGCTAATGTCCTAAGAATTATACAATGAATGAGTGTTGAATTTTGTCAAATGCCTATTCTACATGTATTGAAATGATTATAAGATTTTTTTCTTTAATTGTATTGAATGTATTGAATTATACTGATTTTTTGTTTTGTTTTAGACTTTGGATAACAATTTGATACTATTTTATTAATTTTTTCCAAATTGTTTTAGCTTTGACCACTAGGAGCTAGCTATTTCATTTAGTTCCTGTGTCCTTTTCCACATACCCCCATCAGTGTCGGATTGGTTTGTTTGTTTGTGTGTTCTTCCTTACTTTCTGGACCTACCTAATGGTTCATCCTGCATATTTCCTGCCCTAGTCCTAGAATTGGCTGTTTCTCCAGGAACTCCTGGTTCCTTTTATTGGAGAATAGCATTACAACCAAGATCTGGATGCCATGTGTGCTCTTTGCTACTGGGGTGTCGATGCCTTTAGTCACTTTCAGCTGGCAGAAAAAGGAAATATATGTGTATATGCTAAGCTATCGATACCCACACATCTATAAATATTTCAATATGAAACTGTCTGTATCTATATTAAGCTAAACATGAGTTCATACTGGTGTCTCTAACTGATCCACTAGTCAGGGCTTATTCTAGTCTCCTCCCTTGCCTTATCTGTAAATTCTCACTCCAGTGGTGAGACACCTGGCTCTTACTGTTCAGCCTTCCATTTACTTAACTGTTCAGTTCCAGTACCTATGCATACAAGTATAAGAATTAACTTATATGTACATGGAAAACATCTTTATAAACTAACCTAGAGAAGCAGAGAGGTAGTGGTCTAGCTGAGCAAGCTACGTATCAGAGAGAGGAGGGAAAGTAAAAATCTAGGATTTAGCAGCTCTTTGTGTGAACTTGCCAATGCTTACGTTGTTTCAGCACCCCCTGGCCTCACTCCTCACAGAACTGTCAGGGGCTCCTTGTTTCTGAACCTGTCTTGCTGCTATTGGTTTTCTCCTAAATAGACAGATAGGACTGGCCCATCTCTGTTCTGCTAGGTTGGTTATCACTCATTCATCTTCCAAAATTTTGTTGATACCTCTTCTGTCATGTGGAATCCCACTAGTTCTGTGTGTTCTGGTTAATATATATGATTTTTAATATTTTTTAAAGCAATGCATCTTATTGGTAACTGTGTGACATCAGAGCCCTGGGAATAATGACTATATATCTGTGCTAAATTTGTCTTCATTTTTTACTGATTTTTTTTCATGTAGCCTTTATAAGCCTCCAAAATAGTCATTGATGGAGATTATTTGGGGTTGATATGTATTCCCAAATGGTACTTTGTTGTTCAAAATACACTATCTGGGGGAGTATCATATATGAGACACATTATAAGAGCATGAACATAAGGCAAACTTTTTTATAAGGAAAAATATTGGAAAAAGCACACCTTATATTCAGGAATATAAGGTAGATACTAGGCAGTACTTGACCAGTAGGGAAGATGAGTTAGGGAAGAAATTGCTAAGATAAGATATATATGGTAAGTGCCCATAGGAGATATGACAAGATAGAACAGAAAAACTTCAAAAATATACAGACTTAACCAGTATTTTATGGATTTTTATTTTTAGGTGAAATAGTGGCTGAACGTAATGTTAAATAATGGCGACAGGTGACTTAAAGAGAAGCTTACGGAACCTAGAACAAGTGCTTCGTTTGCTAAGTTATCCTCAGGAGGTGGATTGTGTAGGGTAAGCTATAATATGAAACTCAATTTGTAATCTTTGTGGTAATGATTTGATATAATATTTGACATGGAGGTATATGTAAGTAAAGACATTGATTTCACAAAAAGTCCAACTCTAGAGATTTAAAATACCTTTTAGAAGTAGCAGCATAATATACTTGAGTGTACAACCTTTAAACTCATAGAAATATAATGAATTCATTAGTTATATAACTCACCACCCTCTCACATTCAGTTGGATAGTATTTCTTTAGGATTTGGAAGATTCTACTTAATAGATTCCTTATGGCAATTTATACCTTGTCTGAAGAGGATTAAGCTAACTCATATAACAGACCCCACTTTGAATGTTTCACTTTAGTTTCCAGTTTCCAAATATGATTTGCTTTTATGGAATGTAGCAACACACATTTCTTCTATATTCATGCCAATGCATTACGGTATTCCTGCCATCCACTATCCCCTAATACTTTTTTCTTTTAACCTGGGATTATTCATCAGTGAAATAATCCCCCTCTGGGAAGTAAGTTGACATCTAGTACTTAGTTTTTTCACTGTAGTATCCCCACATCTAGAATAGACTGGTACCTGGCACATATTAGAAGCTACTTAGACATTTATTCAATGAGTGTCAAGGAACAAGTCCGGATTAGTAATTGTTCATGTAATAGAGTGAGTCTCGGTTTAACCAACTAAAGAGAAACCTGGAGTAATGAGCTTTACACATAAAAATGGATGTTCTGATGGCATGTAAGGAAAGTTAACACCAAGAGATGACTGCACATGAAAGGGTAGTGGGGAGAGCAGGGAGAAAGTTGAGTTCTAGTGGCTGATACTATCAACATTGTATATGAGAAGCGAAAAGTATTCCATAGTATGCTTCCATAGCATGTGTCAATCATAGATTGGTTCCTCAAAACAGGAAAATATCTACTGTGTACTCTTGCCAGGACTTAACCAGTTTGAGTAGCCAAGTTTTTTTCTTACCACACCAACCATCAACATTTTAAAGGACATTTTGTATAGGAATAATTCTAAGATACCAATTATTTTCCCTTCTTCTGAGTACAATGTTTAAACATTTGATTTTCTTATTGACCTGAGTGTCATTGAGAGCAGTAATTTTTAATTTTTAATATTTTAGAAAATTGATTTTCTTTTGTTTTACTTGTTTTAATCTTTATTGTATTTTTTCCATTACCATTGAATCCCCTTATACTCCCCTCTGCCCAGCAATCACCCACTCTTGTCCATGTTCAGGAGTCCTTATTCCTTTTTGTTTAATCCCTCCAGTGCCCCACTAGCTGTCATCTGTTCTCCATGTATGAACCTGTTCCCATTTTCCTTGTTAGTTCAGTTGGTCCACTAGATTCCACATATGAATGAAATCATATGGTATTTGTCTTTCTCTGACTGGCTTATTTCATGTAGCATAATGTTTTCCAGGTCCATCAGTAAAAGTGGTTCTCCAGGTACCACTGTCACAATGGTAAAATTTTCTTCTTTTTTCATGGCTGAGTAATATCCCATTGGGTAAATGTCCCATAGTTGTTTTATCTACTCATCTACTGATGGACACTTGAGCTGCTTCCATATCTTGGCAATTGTAAATAATGCTGCAATGAACATAGGAGTGCTTATGTTCCTTTGAATTAGTGTTTTGGGGTCCTTTGGTTATAATCCCAGAAGTGGGATTGCTGCATCAAAAGGCAGTTCTAATTGTAATCTTTTGAGGTATCTCCATACTGCTTTCCACAGTGGTTGCACCAGTCTGTGTTCCCACTAACAGTGCAAAAGGGTTCCCCTTTCTCCACATTCTCACCAGCATTTGTTGTTTATTGATTTATTGATGACAGCCATCAATAAATCAGGTGTGAGATAGTATCTCATTGTTGTTTTAATTTGCATTTCTCTGATGATTAGTTACATTGAGCATCTTTTCATATGTCTATTGGCCATTTGTATGTCCTTTTTGAAGAAGTGTCTATTTAGGTCCTTTGCCCATTTTTTAATTTTTTTTTTTTGGTGTTGAGTTTTGGAAGTACTTTATAAATTTCGGATATTAACCCCTTATCAGATGTATTGGGAAATATGTTCTCCCATTCTGTGGGTTGTCTTTTTATTTTGTTGATAATTTCCTTTGCTGTGAAAAAACTTTTTCAATTTGAGGTAGTCCCATTTGTTTATTTTTTCTTTTGTTTCCCTTGCTTGGGGAGATAGATCTGATTTAAAAAATTGCTATTGGCAATGTCTGAGATTTTGCTGCCTATGTTTTCTTCTAGGATTTTTATGGTGTTGGAGCTAACATTTAAGCCTTTGATCCATTGTGAATTTATTCTTGTTTGTGGTGTAAGAAGGTGGTCTAGTTTTATTTTTCTGCATGTTATCTGTCCAATTTTTCCATTACTATTTATTGAATAAACTGTCTTTAGCCCATTGTATGTTTCCTCTGTCAAATATTAATTGACTGTAAAGATGTGGGTTTATTTCTGGGCTCTTTATTATATTTCATTGATTTATATGTCTGTTTTTATGTCGGTACCATGCTATTTTGATTACTATGGCTTTATTGTATAATTTGATATTAGCATGATTCCTCTAACTTTGTTCTTTTTTCTCAGAATCGCTGTTGCTATGCAGGAGATTTTTTGGTTCCATATAATTTTTGAAATATTATTTCTAGTTCTGTAAAATATGTCATTAGAATCTTGATAAGAATTGCGTCAAATCCATAGATTGCTTTGGGTAGTATGGACATTTTAATGATGTTAATTTTTTCTATGCATGAATATGGTATGTGCTTCCACTTATTTGTGTCTTCTATAATTTCTTTTTTCAGTGTCTTATGATTTTCCCAGTATAGGTCTTTTACATCCTTGATTAGGTTTATTCCTAGGTATTTTGTTCTTTTTGAAACAGTTGTCAGTGGGATTGTTTTCTTAATTTCCCTTTCTGTTACTTTGCTATTGGCCTGCAACTGATTTCTGTATACTAATTTTGTATCCTGCTACTTTGCTGAATTCATTTATCAGTTCTAGTAGTTTCTTGGTAGAATCTTTGGGGTACTCTATGTACAGTATCATGTCATCAGCAACTAACACAATTTTACTACTTCCTTTCCAATTTGGATGACTTTCTTCTTCTTGTCTGATTGCTGTGGCTAGGACTTCTAGGGCTATGTTGAATAAGAGGTGAGAGCAGATATCCCTGTCTTGTTCCTGATCTTTAGGGCTATACTTATAGTTTTTGCCCCTTGAGTATGATGCTGTCAGTGGGTTTGTCATATATGGCGTTTATTATGTTGAGGAATGTTCCTTCTATTCCCGCTTTGCTGAGAGTTTTTATCATGAATGGGTGCTGTATTTAATCAAATTCTTTTTCTACATTTATTAAGAACTGATTCTTTGAAATAATAAACAAAATTGACAAACTTTTAACCAGACTCATCAAGAAAAAAAGAGAAAGGACCAAAATAAATAAAATCAGAAATGAAAGAGGAAAAATGACAACTGACACCAAGGAAATACAAAAGACTGTAAGAAAATATTGTGAACAGCTATATGCCAACAAACTGGACTACCTGGACGAAATGGATAAATTCCTAGAAACATGCAATCTTCCGAAAATAAATCAAGAAGAATCAGAGAATCTGAATGGACAGATTATACCTTGTGAAATCGAAGAAGTAATCAAAAGCCTCCAAACAAACAAACTTCTGAATCAGTTTGGCTTCATAGCTGAGTTTTATCAAACACTCTGAGAACTCACACCTCTCTCCTTCTGAAACTATTTTATAAAATTCAGGAGGAGGGAAGGCTCCCAAACTCATTTTATGAGGCCAGCATTATCCTAATTCCAAAACCAGATAAAGACGCTACAAAGAAAGAAAAGTATAGGCCAATATCCCTGGCGAACATAGATGCTAAAATCCTGAACCAAATGTTAGCAAACCAAATACAACAATGCATCAGAAACATCATACACCACGACCAAGTGGGATTTATTCCAGGAGTGCAAGGTTGGTACAGTATTCACAAATCAATAAATGTGATTCACCACATAAACAAAATAAAGGATGAAAACCACATGGTCGTGTCAAGAAAAACGGTTTTTAGATTGTTCCATAACATAGTGATAACTGCAGGGCCTGTTGAGATAGGTAACTGTTGCTGCTGCTTCCGATTGCCGCCTGACACAGCCCCATACACACATATTTTGATCCTTTCTACTTTTTTCCATTTTAAAATTTCTTCATTTTTTGTTTTAGTGTGCCAGTTTATAATACCTATTTTTCTTACGGTTTGTTTTTTTTAAAGAGGCTATTCAGAGATTATTGTAAATTTGTTTCATAGGCCACAAGGCAATAAAAGGACTAGGTACAGTCTTTCGGGAAACAGTCAAAGAGCTGAGGAGGGCCAAGATGAGTCTCTAGGGCCTTGGTGGGTGCATTTCTTAGAGAGGGGCCCTGAAAGGGAAGCCAAACAATCTGTAAGAAGTAAGACTTGCAGAATAACGGTGAGACTGTAGAACAACAGTGTAACGAACAAACAGGTCTGTGGTCACGTGGCCCTGCGGAACCGGGCGGTGCCTCTGGAGCTACTTTCATAACTTTGTGACCAAGGGTCAAAGAAGGCCTCACATTCCCCGGGGAGGGAGCTGCATTCCTGGAGGGGGCATGTTCATTGGAGTTCGTCGTCCAGGGGGGATCCCCAATGGAGGACCCATGGGAGGCCTCATACCAGCAGGTGGACCCATCATGCCTGGAGGAGATGCCCCTCAGCCTTTAGGTGGGGAAGGACCCCCACGGCCTGGTGGGTACTGAGTTGGGGCCCCTGCAATACTGGCTGTGGCAGCAGCTGCAATCGTGCCTCTTCCTTGTGGGGTCGTCACCTGTCGGGAGGGCCCACCAACCCCACAAATTGGTCCAACAAGTGCTGCAGGGGCCTGGGGCATGGGAACACCAGCTGGGATTTCTCTGCCAGCAGCTCTGTGGATCCCTGGGCCCCCAGCACTCCAGCAAGTGGCCGTCGGGTGATGCCAGTATTTTTGGGGGAGAGGCCCCTCTACGGTCATTGAGACCAGGTTCTTCCCTAGAAGCAGCACCAGACCAGACTCTCTTCCCTTTCTGCTTGTTTTGAGTTCCTTGGCTTGATCTTCCTGAATTCGTCATAATCACATACGATCGATTCATGTTTGTCGAAAGCCTTGAAGGTGCCAGTGAAGATACAACCGTCTTGCAGGATGCACTTCATCCTGTAGTCGATGTGCTGCAGCATCCTGCTTCTCTTAACCACAGTCATGGTGGCAGTTTTGACCCTCCAATACCCTCTGGATTCACCTTTCCCTGGGCCCACCCGCCCTCCAGCAGCCCACTTCCCACCTCCGTCTGTTGTTCTTACCGTTGCTAATCAAAGTCCCTATTAGAAGAGAGATGACCAAGACTTTTGAGGTTGTTTATATGAGATGTTATATGCAGACTTGGCCATCATCTAATCATAATGTGCATCAAGTGGGACAGATTTTGCTGTTCAGAAGGTTTTTTTTTTTTCCTTTTTAAAACTGTCTTACAGATAGACAAGATTGCCAGAGCAGTCTTCTCATAAGGTAAAACATTATTGTACCATAAACATAAAATAGAAACAATTTATATTTGTCCTGAAAAACAAATTGTAATGCTACCATCATATATTTGTTCTCTGTCTTACCAGGAAAAAAAAAAGGAGTGGGAATAGGAAAATTTGTTTACATCTTGAATTTTGTGGGAAAAAATGTTTTATGTGTGTATTATTACTTCAGTTGAACAAATATAACTGGCTGATTGAACCAATCTCAGTTAGTTGTGGGAGAATCTGAAGGTATTTCACATGCAGAAAACGAGATTCATATGTGTAGACAATTACAAAACAGTACAAGACAGATCATGAGGCATCAGACACTGAATAGCCTGAGAGTCATTCTGGGAGAGAGAAATATGGATCAGAATGGTGAGGATGGCTTCATGGAAAGCTTGGGATCTGAGAAGTAAGGTATGAAGAATGAATAATAGAGAAAAGTGGGATACCTTTCTAGACTGGAGGAATTAGCATAATCTGAAATAAAGTACAGATTTCAAAGGAGCCTGATGCAGTTAGAAGCTATTGATCAGCTACTTACAGTATCCCAACCCTGTTTCCCTCTGTAACATAAAATTCATAGTATTTTCCCTTTGCAGTTTTGGTAAAAAGCAAATGAGGTAAAGTAACAAGTGTTTGGAAGAACGTAAAGTTCACCTGAATGCTGTACGATGGTACTTTGGTTTTATTAGGAGAAAATGTACTAGATTTTCTGTTGGTACTAAAGAACTATTGTAAGTGTTTGAGTATATGAATAATAGGATTTCATAGTAATCTGGCTGGACTGGTCTAATGCAGGGGATAGAATCTAAAGGGTCTTGTACATCACTTCATCATTATGGCTATAGTACTAAGCTATAAATTATTGACAATAATTCTTCTATTTCCCTGATTATCCAGCTTTGTGGAATTTTGCTCACTGAAAATATTTCCCCCCCAACAGTTTGATAAAGGGAGAGACGGCGGCATGCTTGCCCATCATCAGCTACTCCCTGACCTCCTACTCATCTTACGTAGCGGAGCTTCTGGTGGAGTCCAATGCCGAGCTCACAGCAAAGAACGACTTGCGCTTTATAGACACTGTCTATAAGGTACATTTATGTTTATGGGGCAATAACTGTTTTAGAAGTTACTGATTTTTTAATATTAATGTTTTATAATACCTTCTTAAATATATATACAGCATGTGTAGTTGACAGAGCATTTCCATACGCATTTACCTCATTGAAATGCCATGCCTATTGCCATGAAGGTGTAACTGAAGTTTGCTTTATGTTTCATACTCTGTTGAATATCAAATATCACTCTATTAAAAAAAGCTGTAAACGTTGATTATCAGTTATCATTCACCCTTTTTTATATCAAATTTTAGTAAAATTTTATATGCTGGCAGAAGTTAGAGAGAAATGTGGTTTTATTGAGTAATGGTTGCAGTTCATAGAATTATAAGTTTAGTTGTTTGTGAGAATGAACCACAGCTTTTACTGAGATTTTGTGTTCCTTGTGATCTGGGACTGTGTCTTACATCTACCTTAGTATTTCCACTTGTATTACAGACACCGAACTTAATCTCATATTGGATCTTTTAAAACCCTACTTATTATCATGATTTTTTACTCAAGTACTTGGGTTTTCTTAAACTTTTTAAAAAATGGTAAAACTCATATATCAAGTGAAATCTTTTCTTCTTTCAGTAGTAAGCTGCATTTGGTGCAATGGGAGATTTTACGTGTAGGGCCTCTGTTTAATCTTTCCTTTCCTTGCCTTTCACCCAGAAAACTTCTATGGAAGCCTACGAGGTACTTCTAAGAAATCCTAGGGTTCAAGAGTAGGTTTTAAAAATTACTGATTTCATCTGTTACTTTCATTTTACAAATGAGAAATTGAAACTCAGAAGCCTACTGACTTCTCTAAAAAACTCATTTAGTGGAAGAATTATAAACAAACAGAACTACGATTTTCTGACATAACTGGCATGGTATTTTTTACTCTACAGGAGCTAAGGAGTATTTCTAGTACCTGTGAGGATATTTGAACTTTTTGATCATTGGCTCTATTTTTCCATTTCTCTGGACAGCTATCTCTTCTTTGATACATCCCTAGCTACCTGTTTCCACCTAGATACCTCTCCTACCTGGTCATGACTTTTACCATTTCTATCAATCTCTTCAGTACCTTTTAAATAAAAGGTCATCCTAACCAGGTAGTCAGTATTATTTTGGATTTTTGAAAGAAATTGTTCCCAGTTTTTTGTTGATCTATTCCCTCTTTACAGCTTCTCCGTGATCAATTTAATTATAAACCAATCTTGACGAAAAAGCAGTTTCTCCAATGTGGATTTGCAGAATGGAAAATCCAGATTATTTGTGATATTTTGAATTGTGTGATAAAAAAGCACAAGGAGTTGAGTGGTATTGAGAAGGTAATTTTCTTAATGGATTTTAACTTATGCTAAGTGGCCAGTAGTTTAATGTATAAAATCAAATACTCTAGATAGCAAATTAATACGTAGTATAATTACTGAGTTATTCACAGGTTTGTGTAACTTTGTAATACCTGGTGTTTGCTTGAAACACTAGTCACTTGTATTTACACACTTGAAACTTGGAGCTACTAGTCCTGAACTAATGGTTCAAAGAGGACATTTTTATCACTTCTTAGTTTTCAAAGACTTACAGTTTCACAGACTCATTGTTTGATAGTCATCTTTCATATACAAAAATTGAAGTAACAGAATTGAAATATACATCACGCTTTCACACAAAATTTTTTACATCTTAATGCTTTTTTTTAGACTCCTTCACAACAAAGGAAAAAAATCAATTTTGTTAAGCCAGAACCTTCTTCAAGCAGTGAGAAAACATCTGTAGAACCTGTCGGCATTGACATCACCGGCAGGTTTATGACTTCAGGCAAGGTGGGAGAGTGCAGAGAGTGTGTCCTGGTGTTCAGAGTTACCTACCCAGTTAATCAAATGTACGGGTTCACTTTTCTAACTAGCACTGGTATGCCATTCCAATTAAATACTGTACTATACGTGTTTTTTAACAATGCATGTCACATGCTCTCGGGGGACTATTCCAAAAGTTATAAAAAGAGGGTAGAAATTCCCATTGAACTTTCTCTTCATATTTTTAATTCCTATGTTTGCATTTTTTCCCCACATAGAAAACAATGACTTAGGAAGGTTATACTATGTGCTTATGAATGCTTACTCCTCATTATGTATTCAGTCTTCCTAAAACATGGGCACATAGAAGGAACATACCATTAGTTATGGATTATGATGATTCCCTTACCCATGTTCATACTTCTCTATCAGGAATATGAAGTATCCAGTGATTGACAGTTCCCAAACCTATAATCTGGTTTTGGGGCTGGTGTGGTAATATCTTTGTTGATGGGTATCTCCTCTGCCCTTACCTGCTTTGAGCACCTGTGGCAGAACAAGTCCTCTGTAAACACACAGTTTGACCCAGTCCTCACCCTTGGGACCTTCCCTTTGGCGTTATTATGTGTGAACTCTTAGCTGAAAGTCTGATGTTTGTGATTTAACAAAATTTTTTAAAAAATGTAATGAGTTTTATTCACAGAACCAGTTCTTGGTTATTTATATGTGAATTATGTGGTAATCTTTTTATGATGAGATTATTTTTAAAATAACTTTTTGTGATGGAACATTTTGAATATTTACAAAAGCACTCATTCCCAGCTTCAGCCTCTTATCAACTCTTTGCTAATTTTGTTTCATCTTTACCACAACCACATTTCCCTGCATCTTTCCCCCAAATCTGAAACAGTTTGAAACAAATCCCAGACATCACTGAAGACATATTTCAATACTTCTATATCTGATCTATAAAAATACTTTAAAAGATCATAACCATAATTTCATCATCACACATAAAATATGAATAGATTAATTAATACTTGATACATACATTATGTGTGGCATGTAAGCTTTTATGAATGTTAAAGGGAGGATAAATGTTCTTTGGCAAAGTTGTGCTGTGTATGCTTAAAATAATTGTGTGAGGGAGACATCGAAGCAGCCGTGACATTCCTCTTCATGCAGAAGAAGGCTGTCGTGATCCGTCACCTCTACAATGAAGATGGTGTGAACATTCCTGAGGATACGTTACGCACAGTAACAGATGTTAATGACACATTCACTGTGTGTGAGATAAAGGATACCGAAATAAAGAATCCTGAAGAAAAGGTCCCTGAAATCAAGTCGGAGCAACAAGTAAGCATTTTGGACTTCCTTAACACATGCCAATATTTCTTACTTCGAGGTACCTGATTGCATCAGCATCTAATCTTTGGAATATCTCTAGTCTTTTGAATTATTAATCATGACACATTGTCTTTTTTACAATTACTTAAGAATCAGTAAATCTTACTGATAATAACTTGACAGATATTTCTTACTGCTTATAGTTAGGGTACTGGGCTAAGTGTTATGGGCAATGCTGAGATGAATAAGACATAGTACTTGCCTTCAAGGAATTTACAGTGTAATGAGATTCAGAGATATACTGCTTAATACAGTGGAGGTTCTCTCTCAGCTCCCTATATTGATGAATGGAAAAAATTGGTACACTACTGCCTCTTTTAATTTTTGGGCCTTTGGTGTCCTTTTCTCTTCTCTGTTAGTGAATCTTTTCTGTTAATGTATTGCCACAGACCCTGTTAGAGTGTCTACTCTTGCTTCTGCTAAAACTCTTTTTTCTGTCTTTTTTTTGCCTGTGACCTTTACACATTTTAGTATACAGTTGGTATTTATAAAAATGACCAAATGGCCATTAGGCTTATTTCCTATTTATAGCAAACTGAACAGTTCTAATGCACTGTCATTTCTTGGTCATTTCCTCTTAGCTTTGTGCAAGGTGTTGTTACAAGAAGCTAGTGAGTGACAGTATTTTGTGCCACCCAGTGTTGTTCTAAAGAACCTCATGAAAATTAATTTATTCAATCCTCACAAGAACCATATGAAGTAGGAACTGTTTTTTTTTTAATAAGGAAATTGAAGCATCAAGGTCATACATAGATGAGCTAGTCTAAGTGCCCAGACAGTCTGCTTCCATAGGTAGCAATCTCAACTCGCATGCTGTGTTGCCTAATTTAACCATTGCAATGGCACCATGGAAATGGGAATACACTGACTTCTAAAGGAATTTCTGTTTGGGTAATATTTCTAACCTTTCTAATCATTTTAGGATATAAAAGTTAATCCTGAGATTACTGCATTGCATAGTATGCTTGCTGAGTGCCAAGAAAAACTTAAGAAACTGACTCAGATAGAGAGCAGATTAGACTCTTTGGAAGAAAAAATGAAAGGAAAAGTGATGGTAGATGAGAGAACCTGGACTAATCTTCTCAGTCGTGTCACTCTTCTTGAAACAGAACTGCTTCTGTCCAAAAAGGTATTTTCTTTTGTTCACATGTATAGAATATCTCAGTTACAGTGAAGTTTCTATTTACTATTGGATGAGTATTCCTTTGGAAATGCTAAATCAAAGAATGTTAAGATAATGGGAAAATGTTTGGTGGGAAGGGAGTCCTGTTTAGACACCACCTATTTTATGTTGTTGTTGTGGCCATGAAATTATTTTATGTCCTGTGATAGGACAAATGGTTTGTTTTACAGGGTGAAGAAAAAGTGGGCAGGAGAGGAAAAATTAAAATTAGAACTTCCTTCTCCCACTCATTTCCTTCAACCAACTTGTAAATTATATAGACAATTACCAAATTTTCCATTGCCTTATCAAATCTGAGAAATTGTTTCTCGATTTACTCAGGATTTCAATTTCTCATCCTAGCCTATCTTTCCTTCCTAAAAAGTAAAATTAGTAGATTCAAGAAGGTTGCTGTCTGATTTCACATTTTTAGGATTTCTTATACATAGAAATATTTATGTGTTGCTTATAAGTAAAATACTTAAAAATATTTAAACACTGACATGTTATCTTTATATTGTATGCTTAGCAGTAATAATATAAAATAAGGACATTATCCTTTTCATTTCATTCTAAATTCTAAACTATATTATTCCAGAATGATGACTATACAGAATATAATGAAATGAATGAAGATTATTCTTCTACTAGTGACATGGATATTCTGAAACTTGGTAAGTTCTTGTAGTATTAGTACTGGTGGTATAGTTAGGAGTTTAGGAAAATACTTTATATAGGTATTTGGCAATTTTAGTACTCCCAAAACTTACATTTTAGAACATGCAAAGCTCCTAGGAACAAAGAAAATACTGAACTTACAGACTACTGACACCAGAGATAGCTAAAGAAGCCACCTTACATATTTTGCATGACACAGTGGTTGAATAAATTCTAGTGTACAAAATTGCAAACTGTTAGAGATGTTTTACCCTTTTAATTACTAGATGCTATAAAGTAATAAAAATGGTTCTCCAAGTTTCTCATTTAAACTCAAGTAGTAGCTTTTCATATGTAAATAATATATGTTAGAGAAGAAAATGCATTTGTCGGTAACTTGTAAACAGCCTACAGTCTGCTAAACCAGTGGGATGGAGCTAGTCTTCAAAGTTGGGCCATGTGGTCTTGACCCCTGAGTTCAAGTTGTTGGGTTAAGAGTGGACACTTCATCCCGGGAACACCAGTACAAAAAGCGTTGAGCCAAATCATTTTGTCTTCCTTGGAAATTTGGAATCAGCACACCAAGGATAGTCACATAAAATGATGTTGAGCCTGGGCTGGGCATTTTACCCAAGTTCATGCTGATGAGTGAGTAGAGGAATGGAGCAAATAGGCAAGAGAAATAGACAAAAGACCCTGGTTGTAGGACAGATGAAAGTAAAAGGAATGTAAAAGTATTTTTAGTTGTTTTCAGTCCTCATGTGATAATACTTTGTTCCCTCATTGAGGTGGTCTGTGTTGGGTTAAAACAAAACTGTTAAAGGAGTGTTCTTTTTTTGGGCGGGGGGGGGCGTCGAGGAGCATGTTTTTGCAGCCAAATGGTCCTCAAGCCTGTTGATTGATTTGGCAGGAGTGCACCTCGTCAATTGACTCAAGTTAATTGAGTCAGTGGTGGGGAAGATTTGCCATGAGTTAGTAGTTTATGTTTTAAAATTAATTAACTTGCCTGTTTATTCAAATAATTGGTGGCTATCATGATAAAGATAATATTGCCTTTTGTAATTATTGGCCAGTTTTTAACATCTAGGTCTTTATATGTAAGTCATTATCTTAGGAGAATATTAAATACTCATCTATCTGTACACTAGTAACAATTTTATATTAAAATGTTTATTTTTCTTTTATATATATATATATATATATATATACATACACATAAAATTTTTAGAACCCCACTGTGAAAAGATAACCTAAAAATTAATTTCCCCACAGAGAGAAAGAGCAAAGAAAAGGAAGCAAATATTCCTCTGTCCTCTGGTTATAATAGTACAGTATCAATAGACTCAACACCCAGAACTTCAGTTGTTAATTACTGTGGCTTGAAAGAAATTTCAGAGGTAAGAAAAACTGACAACTGCTTAGAGGATTTCCTTTCTAAGGTCAGGAGAACAAGCAAGCATTAGATTTAGTTGTAGATCTCTTGGCAAGAATAGTAGTGAAACTGTGTAAATCTTAATCTCCCATAAAAATTCTTTGTGATGAGTAAACAGTATTTGATGCAAGGTTTTGGACTGTGTTTTATATGTTCATGATCTGTCTTCGATGATGGGTTCCTTGGAGAAATGGCCTAAATTTGTTGATTTTTAAATTAAAGGAAACAACAATCCAGAAAATGGAAAGGATGAAAAAAATGTAAGTAACAGAAAGGGGCAGCAGAAATTCATTTCTCTGTGGGGAATCGTATTGGGTTACAGTGTATATATAATGTGCATATGTGTTTCAAACCCTGAAGGTCTCTAGATCAGGTGTGGAATTTCCTTCAGGACCCAAGTGGATAATAAATCCACCCACAGTTATGTGTGTGTGAGACGAGTCACTGTTTGGGCTTCCAGCCGGGGGTGTAAAACATCGATAATGGAATTAATTGTGGATTAAAGGGTGCAGAGATGTTTTTGGTTGATAGTTAATCAAGAGGATTATCTATTTTTGATAACTGATTTATCAGAATGTTAAATAATATGTGTAGATGGATGGTTTAGAGACATTTTAAGCATTGTTAAAGTATTGCTAGCATTTTTCAGTAAGGTATCAGTGAGGTAATACTAAAAATGATACTTATATTTAAAGAGCAGTTGAAAGGAAATGTGAAATTATATTTAAGTTATTGGTAGCCTAACTACTTTAAAAACTATAATATTTTTTGAAATTTGAGAAGTACTGAAATAACTTGTGCTCCAAGAAATAAAAACTACTAATGGACTCCTCCTTATGCCTCTCTTCTGGCTATGGTATACTTAATTTATTAACAGTAATTATACCTATAAATAAGGTAAATATTGAAATTTATTTTAGACTCAAAAGTATAATTTTAGCAATTTAAAACCTATGCCTCATGACATTTATGTACTTAATGTATTACTTATTTATTATTTTTCAGGTTTGAAGAAACTGCTGAATTACTAAAAGGTTCAAGTCACTAATTACAGAATTTTTCTACATGAACTTTTCCAGGATGTTAGCTGTGGTACATGTTGTATATTTTAAGAATTCTCTATAAATTTTAATATACTAGAATATTTTTATTAAGAATCTTAATTCCATTTAGTAGATGAGCTTTTTCATTTAGTGTCGAATAAATGCTTAAATATTTTTGTGCTGTGATTGTATGGTTTTTCTCTGTTTTACTTTTCCTAGGAAAACTCCTGTGCCAGTACATTTCTTTTACAGAGTGAAGTCATTATAGCACCGTATTTTTGTGTTGACATTTGTTGGCAGTGTGCTAAGTAATGTGTTTTTAAAGTACAGGCTTCAGGACCATAGTTTACATCCTGTTGGAAACACTCCAACTGGGACTTGCATATTGTACCCAGGAGGCTGTCGTACATACCATTTTGCCATCTGTACTGATGAGTATGTTGTAATGAAAAGTTCAAAATGCTCATTGAAAATTAAATAAAACAAAAATATAGCGATTTAATGCTTAGTGAAAAAGCAGCAACGCATTTTCAGTTAACATTGAGAAAGTGCGGGTGTGAGTCCCCCTTGGTATTTAGAAGCAGGTCGGCGAGTTCTGTGAAGAACGTGGTGAGGACTTCAGTGCTCTGCTCAGTGACACGTTTCGGACCAGCCACAGAGACACAGATGGTGGCTGCCCGCTGTTACAAGTACACGGGAAGGGGTTTTTTTTTTTTAAGTGATGGGAAGTAATATATTTTTTTGGAGAGAGAAAATGTCTTAGATGAAGTTAAATCAAGAGAAAAAAGAAATTCACTTTAAATTACTAAATAAATTATTATTTTTTAACTTTATAAATAAAAATGTAGTAATCATCCTGGATAATCTTCAAGAAAATTTATTCCATTTTTTGTGAGGAAACAGGAGAGTACTTTTTCTTTGTTATTATTGTTTATCTGACTGTATGTTATTTATTCATCCATTTATATTATATGTGTGTACTTTCAAATTTGTAACATGAAACATTACCATTAAGATAAAATTCTTAGTAGAAATAACTGTTAAGAAAGCATATTTATTATTCTAGTACATGCTGAGTAATTAGACTTTAAAATTATGAACTTTTAAAGTTCACATAAAAACTCACATTTACTAGTTTCAGTAAACATTCTAAAGCAAATCCAGTCAGCTTTATATTTTCAATTACAAAAAATGTATAAAAATCAAGAACTTCAAAGAAAAACTCTTAAAATTAACTTCTAAAATATTAGTACCAGCATGGAATTATAGCACCACCTTGTGGTTCATATGCCACAAAAAGTGTTTTTATCTTTTATTAAAACAAGTGATTTTCCGTGAAACACAGGATCATATTTTTCTTTTTGAAATATCAATTCAAAACTCAATTCAATTTTTAAAAGAAACATTTTTAAAGTTTTCCTTTGCAAAGACAAAATAAAAAGTCTCCTTCATCTCTTCCTTCCCTCTCCTTTTTTCTTTTTTACAAATTTTTTAAATTTTTAAATTATACTTGACACTATTTTCCTTTTTCTTTATATAGACTACACACAGTTACATATTTGAAACATTTTTAATCTCCCAATTTACATATAGTGTGCAAGTTATAAATATCAATTGAAAATAGAGTAAAATATGTCTGTGTCATCAAGTAGAAATTGGAATTAAATTTTGTTACACTGTTATCTAACAACAGGAACTAATAAAATCACCTCACACTAACACCATCATTTACACTTACAAAGAATCTTGATCTATTGTTTTGACAGCATAACGTTGGGAGGAAAAGAGCAAATTTGACTTAGTTGAAGTTATTGAGGAGATAACCCAAATTATTCATTATTCTCTTTTAAAAATTATAGAAGAAGTTAAGTTTTCTCTCAGACAGTTTGGTAAGCAGCTCGTAACCAAAAATCAACCCCTTTTGATTAACTTGAAGATCTTAAGAAAGTGAGAGAGGAAAGTCCTGGGTAGACTGTTTGAAGCTACGTAATTAAACCCTTGGTTAACTAGAATTTTCACTGCCTCCATCCCCTTAACTGTCCCAGCAGCTGGATGACAGGTATTTATTGTACTAACGAGATAGGCATCAGCGGCTTGTGCCGCCCGGTCTGTCCTGCCCTCTGAGCGGGTCTGGGTAGAGACCATATAGGAGCACCCTAAAGAGTGTGTCAGGTAAGACATTAGTGAAAACAGATTAAAAAGAGGCAACATTAGCTATGTGAAAAAGCTCAGCAAAGCAAAGGCCTTTTCTTTTTTTAATTTTTATAAGAGTTTATTTGAGCCAAACTGACGGCGTGGCTGGGGAGCAAGATCTCAAATGCTCCCGCTAAGGACCAGTGAGTGGGAAAAAGTAGTTCTGTATTTTTTTGCTTGTTTTACTCTGGTATGCAATGTTTTAACATGTAATATAGTCCCTGAAAAATAAAAATTAAAGACTTTGGAACTGCGTTTTATGCCATTTATTACTCACAACTTTGTATAATTGACAGGCACTTGGGGAAACATTAAAAAGTAAAAGAACCTTGTCAATTTTACAAACTACAACACTTTTTGAGTTCAAATAACATTATAGATTTAATTTTTACTTTTTAACAATCCCCAGGTTTGTGCTCACTCTTTCAACCTGAAGGATGTAAAGAAGGTGATGAGGTGGGGTTAGTGTGAAACTTGAAAGTTAACCTACAAAATCAAAACTTTAATTGTTGTGTTACTTGAGCCTTAATGCTTCTAGTGAAAATGGCAGGTTCCTTATAGTACTCAAAGAGTGAGGAGAGCTGGAAAGGCAGTACTGATAAGGGGTAGGTAGCAACACTAAGAACATGCAACTTTATTTTGGGAGGGCAAATCTATGTTCATTTTATGGTTGTTTTTATTTATATCTAATACAGGAATGGAGAGACTATATAGCGTATATTTTTCTCTCTGAAGTTTATTAAATCATTAGTAGCAAATTTTAATTGGATTAAGGTTTTTTAGATGCGAAATGTTCAACTTAGCACTTTAAAATTGAGAACAGATTACTTATGTAGTAAGTATCCCAGACCAAACACATAAATTATTTGAATTTTACATTATGATGAGTATTAAAAATGAAAGAATCACAATATTAATTACCCAGGAAAGTTGAACAGTAGGGATTAGAGTGATGTGAAACCTGAATATTTTGGAACAAATCCTAATATGTAGATCCAGTTCTTCAGTTCATTTAAGTTGATATTTACTTGGAGTACAATCAACTTGTTAGGTCATTGGGTGGAGGACTTCCATTTGACAGGTGTTGAAATCCTAAAAGACACTTGTGGATGGATACCTACCAGAATTATTCTATACCTGTTTCTTAAATGCCTTTTGATTGCTTCTGTGAAATCGTACCATAAATTCCCTTATCTATTCCCACCACTTACTGTTTACTTTTGTAATTTACCAGTAAAATTTACCCAAGTAAATGTTTTTCTTTCTGGGTCCTCAGTAGACAATATTTCCGTGATGCAGACACTGACCCTCAGTGTCCACATCATTATGGATGAAATGAGACATGGATTACTGAGTCTGGTGGAGGAAAAGGGACAGCATGGCTTTTCTCTCAAGGGGAGCAAAAGCCTTGGCTCTTGCCGTGGCTGTGACTGGCTTTTATTGGGTTTCTCCGCACATCACAGGAGAGGGATATTTGCAAATGAAAAGGTAAAAGTGGTTGAACCGGTTACACTCATCCTTGGAAAGTTTAGCATGGATTTTAGGAAGTTACTTTGCAGTAAATGTCCTCAATTCAGGGTGAGGGATTTTTTTAGCATGAGCGAGACTCAAAATAGCCTAGGTATATTGCAGGCCTGATTCCCCACGGGAGAGCCTATCCGTGGGTGTGGGTCCTGTGCATCTCCGAGTGGGAGCTGGGCCCACACCACGCAGAACAGTCTCCTACATTTCTATTTCTCTTATTATTTTGCTGTCACTGAAACTTCTGAGATTCTCTAAGAATGTATCTCTGTTAGTATATTTATAAAAAAAAGTTTTGAAACTTATGCGATGAACTTGTTACTGTTAGTTATAAATGTAAAACTATTCATTCTAATTAGAATGAGGCCAGGAATGATCATTTTTAGACCCATTACTGACTTTCCATTTTTCTCATCTCCCCCTTTAGGAAGGAAGGAAGCATTACTTTTTATATGTCGTAATTCAGGTTGTTTGTTTTTGTTTTAGTGACCTTTGCTATCGAGAATCTCACTCAACCAGAGATAATGACTATTCCTAATACCCCCCGCCCTGCTGCACCAAGTCCTGTTCTTGACACTGTTTCATTTCATCCGTTTACCTCCTTTCCCATGGCACTGCATTCCCTCTTCTCATTCTTTGCTTGCACTGCTCACTGATCTCCCTTCTTGTAGTCTTGCATTGTTCATTTGGTTATGCCTTTCTGCTGCTTACAATACATTTTTAAGTGTTCTTATTTCTGTTGAGCAAAGCTCAAACATCTTACCCTGGACAACTTACCCTTTTCTCTGAAGTCTCATCTACCTCCCCCATATCAGCTTCTACACTTCTATAACTCTATGTACATAGTTCTCTTCTAAATCATGCTTTTGCTCACTTTGCCTTTTGCTGAAAATGACTTTCCCTTCCATCTTGCAAATTTTTACTGATCCTGCAAGACACTAGCTTCTTTGGAAAGGCTTTTCTCTTCTCAGCCATCCAAGCCAAATTATATGCTTCTGTCTCTTTTCTTCTTTAGTGCCTTGTCTGTACTTTTGACTTTTACACTGATTTCATGGCCATTATTTGTTTATATGACTTTCATCTCCAATATCCTGCCTTTCAGTCTTCAGTCATTCTTCCAGTGTTTACTAGTGCCTCGTGTTTGTTTATGTTTTCCTTCATTCATTACAAACTGGTTCTTAATTGTTTGTTGGCTGCATGAATATCAAATTATAATTAAGTTATAAATTATATCAAGTTTCCAGATAAATAGGATATATCAAGTTGAAAGCTGCAGTCTGGCCAGTCATGCTATATAAGAATGCATTGAAAAAGAAAGACAATCAGCATGTGTTCTGGAAAAGAGACACCATACTTTGTCGGCATGTTAGTGGATGAATTTAAAATGGAAGTTGATTGAAGTGTGTACTTAGGTGCCAGTCAGTGTGTCAGGCACTGGTTACCGGAAGAGAACAAGATAAATATGGTTCCTGTTCTCACAGAGCTAACAGCTGAGCAGAAAGAGTTAAACAAGCAACCGTGTCCAGTCGGAACTAAAAGGGAATATGGTGCCTCTGACTCATCTGGGATGGAGGGAAGTTTCCTAAGAGGAAGTAACATAAATCTAAATCCTAAAGGATGACTAGGGAGAGCCAGGGAAGAAGGGTTAAGCAGAAGAACCAGCATGAACACAGGCCGTGAGGAAGGTTATTTGAAAGAGACGCACGAGGTCCAGCTACTGAGTGTGTGTGGGTGGAGGAGGATGTCACAGAGGCTAGGCCACTCCACACTGGCCCCAGGAGCAGCGTGTAGGTGATATACTGAAAACTTTAAGCAGCTGAATATCATAGTTTCTGAAGGGTTATTTAGTGCTTAAGTGTGGAGGATGAACGAGAGGTGGCAAGGCTGGAGGCAGAGAAACTGTTCAGGGGGCTGTTACAACAACCTCAGAAAGAGGTAACAAGGGGGACTTAGATTAGGATGACAGTGGAGATGGAGGGAAATGGGATTTGAGACAATGTATTTCTTCCAATTTAAGACTATCTTTGATCTGGCTGGAGTGGCTCCGTGAATTGAGTGCTAGTCTGCAAACCTAAAGGTCACTAGTCTGATTCCCAGTCAGGGCATGTGCCTGGGTTGTGGGCCAGGTCCCTGGTTGGAGGCATGCAAGAGGCAACCACACACTGATGTTTCTCTCCCTCTCCTTCTCCTTCCCTTCCCTTCTCTGTAAAAATAAATAATATCTTCTTAAATAAGAACATCAATTTAAGGATTATCTTTGACTTGGTATCTGCATTGAGTTTTGACAAATTCTGCACTTACCTTTAATCTAATGCCTTGCCTAATTGGTCCTTAAGTAGAAATACAAAATCTTGAGCCCCATTCTGACCTAGCGAGGCAAATTCTGCATCTCACTAAGAACCCACAGTAATGTGCAGCCACCTTAATTTTAAGAAGGACTATTTTACACTTATGTACTATTGCTTTATTATCATGAATCTAAGCATTCAAATTAATATTCTTTTTCATTGCTTTCATCTAAATACAGCTTTTTATAATCCATGTTCATTATCTTAGACTCTTTCTCTCTTTAAATAGATAGAATTAGGGTTTTGGGTTTATTTAAACGATTTTTTTATTCAGTTGA